TCCACTACCCAGACTTTTTTGTCTTTCTTGTCAACCATGGTTAGGTCTGGGGTGTTGTGTGGCAGGTGCTTGTCTCTTTGAGTTCTAAAGTCCCAGAGCACTTGAGCTTCTTCATATTCTATTCCTTTGCCTGTTTTGGGGTCCCACCAGTTCTTGCTTGCAGGCAAAGGGTATTTCTGGCAGATGTTCCAGTGCACCATGGCTGCTGCTTTGTCATTCCATTGTTTGTGGTCAGTCTGTGCGATCTTCTTGCAGCAGCCGACGAGGTGGTCCACTGTTTCTGCAGCTTCTTTGCAGAGGCAGCATTTGCTGTCTGTTGCTGTCTTCTCGATTCTGGCTTTGTGTGCATTTGTTCTTAAGGCTTGGTCTTGGGCAGCCAGAATGAGTCACTCTGCCTCTTTCCTGCTCTTAGCCATTGCCGGTCTTGTTGTGATCTGCTCTGCCTGCTAGTTTTGTTCTTGTTGTTATTTAAGAGGTTAAGGTTTTCCCCACCATAACGCTTCTGTGCTGGGATATGTATCTTCTGACTATTGAAGGGGAAGAAATTGTGCCAGAGGTTTTTTTTTTTAAAAAGAGTTTTCCTATTCCTGGAAAGGACCATTTACCAGCTGAAAGCCAGTTCAGAAATAATTGTATGAATTCACACATCACAGAGGAGCGCACTGCTGTGTTTTTATTTTGAAATTATTTTACAACCCTGAGATTGTGGCCAGGAGCTGAACTCTTTCCCCACATTGCAGTCGAATGAATCTTTTTCCATGCTTCTTAATAGTCCTGTTCCCTGGTTCTTCCATTGTCCAGATGGAACATCTCATCTGGACAATGCCAATCTAAGTATTTTGGGAGTTGCTTGGAAGGTAATGTTCCAGAACAGGAAAGGGTTGGTGGTTTGGTGGTGTTCCTCAAATGATCCTGCCCCAAACAGACCATTTTGGGGTCTTTCCAGCAAAATGCTATGATTGGAGCACTATCGGTCTCTTTCCATCAACCACAAGCCACTCTGGAATGACCTGATTGAGAAGAAGAACAAAACATTCTGGAATTCCAGGATGGAACTGAACTTTTTGCAAACGCGGATCACCTAAAGCTAGGCAGAAGCCCATTGACCCAAATGACTCCTTTTGCTGAGTGTAAGCCACAGGAGTGTATGCCTTTTGCTATCGAAAGAACAGGCACATAAATTACCCACACCCTGGGCATTGAATCTGGGCTGGAGTCTTCAGAATACAGTTCCAGAAGGCTGGGTCAACAAGGTTATGGTTGACCAAATCAGTCTTCATCAGAGAAAGAGATTCGGCATTGTGACTTTGCACAACCCCAGGGTTTATGAGTCAGTGGATGCCCTGCTTAATCATGGAGAATAAGTGGAAGCTGAACACTGGCTGGGGAATTCTGGGAGCTGAAGTCCACCCTTCTTAAAGTGGCTAAGGTTGAGAAATGCCGCCCTAGAGTCCACTTTATTGCTTCATTTGCTGCTTTACAGTAATTGCACATCTTCTTTTTGAAGAGGATGCTTGATTGCTTTGGGGTGTAGCTGGCTCCTGTTGGCACTCAGGGCTGATTCAAAAAAGAGACTCTTAATTTTATTTATTTATTAAAACAGTAACCCATCCTATATCCAGAGCTCCCAGGATGGAATGCAGTCAGCAAGGCAAAATTAGCACAAAACTGGAACAGATAAAATGCATTAGCAAGTAAAGCACAACTGATTTTACAAAAATCAACAAACCCCCAAAGCTTAAATGAACAGTTGGATCTTACCAGACGCATATAAAAAAGAGGCAAGGTTCAATTGTGCAGTTGCGGCTGCCATCTTGACTTTTTTGACCCCTCCAACATCCTGGTATCTGTGGCCAAAAGAGGGTCTGGGATGGAAACTCCATCCGAAAGGGTCTTTAGCAGCAGGTCACCATCTTGCTAGCTTTGACCAAACTCACCTTGTCAAGCCTAGTGTGTTTCTGCTACGTTGGGCTGGGACGTCACCGTTTAATAGAAAGGAGAACCAGCGACAAATGGGTGAAATCAGAAATTTGCATCTTCCCTGATTTTTTATTAGCTGGCTAGTTCTGTGCTTAACTTTCTCCGTGTGTGACAAACTCCAGAAGGCCACCATTTATGTAGCACTTTGTAGGGAGAAGTCTACAAGGGCCCATTGAATGCCTATGAAAATTCTTATCACCCCAACCTGATGGACGAAGATTGTGAGTTTAGCCCTCTGCACAGGTTGATGCTATGGGACCGCACATCATCACATCGCTGCGCAAATGGTGCAATGATACAATTTGCCTGAGTTCAGATGCAACTGGTACGAATTGGGCAACGGGAGCATGTGTGCGGTGACCTCATGCTATGCACAGGATCTTTTGGGTACCCTCCTTGCTTTTAAGGGACTCCCATAGAAGCACTGTTCAAATGCAGGACGATGATTCTGCGGGTGGTTGAGTCGCTTTCTGCTCTCAAAGCAGATGAACCAAAGGAAAACGTAAATGTAAAAGAAAAGGAGTTAAATTCTGCTTCACTCCAGATGCTAGTATTCCTGAGATTATAAATTGTAAACCCAAAGGCTGCTACTAGATTTCAGTGGCTTCCTGAATTTGTTGTGTGTCTTAGCTTAGCACAGTGTTTCTCAACCTGGCAACTTTAAGAGGGGTGGACTTCAACTC